CATACACGCACGCACGCACGCACGCACGCACACACACACACACACTCATCCATCTACACTACTGGTTCGGCACACTCACTTTCGGCACACGAGCCTGCTGACCGGTCCTCGTGTCTCTGATGTTGGAGATCTCGATGCCATCGACCTCCTGTAACAGAAGCAACGCGATACGATCACATGTCGGTCATACAAGCCTATAGCACACCGGCAACACAGCACAAGCAGACAGAGCGCGCACACAGAGCGGGTCCAGTCGCGATCAATAACGACGGCTCTCACGTCACCGGTTTGCCCCCCTCCCCTCCCCTCCTCCCCCAAAACGCATCATTTTCATTCTTCGTCAAATTTCGTTAATTTCGACGAATTTTTCATGAGGAGCACGTCCCCGTGTTGGTCGAGTCGAACGCTCGTAAAGCTGTAAACGTGCGTAGAAATCGGTGAACGTGGATTTACGAGCGAGTAAGATCAGACAGCCCCGAGGAGTTACGAGAGGGCTCGCGTGTCTACGATTCATGTAAACCTACACGCATTACGACGACAGTTTGACGAAAGAGCGCGCGGCTTCCGCCGATGAGTACACGGCATATACACGGGTTATGTATGCTATATATACGGAGCCTGTATATAGGGTCCACAACGACGATCGCTTTCTAGGTCACGAGAGCGAATGGGCGAACAAGCGCGCGAACAATAGAGGAAGCAGACAGAGGAGAAAACACGATTACGGTAATAAGGCGTTATGAAGCATACACGATTTGCATTCAGATAAATATAATAAGACGCATCGACGCGCTCTCGTCGCAGCAAATAGTAACCTCGTGTACAACTGAAACGCTTGCCGTCGTTTCATTTTCGAACGCCAGCAGACGACGCTTTACGTTCCCAGGCGCAGCAAGTCACTCGTGAAAGCCAGTACGGATATCGAGGCCTCGTGCGGCTATTTAGCACAACGCGTGGGTTTATCCCTCAAGCGAGTTTGTTTATTCACGAAACGCAACACGCGGCATTTGGCCAATTCGTGCTTTTGTCTGGCCCAGCCTTCCTACCCTGGATCACTGTTATACGATGGTACAGTTTAGGATAAGGTGCGAGCAGCAAGCCAACGGGATGAATTCGCGTGGAATTACCTGCGACAGGCGCGCCGTAATAAGCAAGAGTCTGCGATTTACGGTCGACTCGCATTATAACCCGCAGCAATAAAGCGCGAAATCAAGAAAGCGCATTCTCGCGAGACCGCGAGACCGTCGAGACGGCGCCACAGCGCCACTGCCGCGCATGCGCGAATACCGTCATCCTCGCCCTCTGCCATTACTTCATTGACATTTTCAACGCCTCAATGAAAACAGATATAATACGCATGATACATCTCAGTTGCATCACTAATAATATCTCTGCTATCCGTAGTAAAAATTCCAGACCAAAACCACAGAAACAACTACAAAGCAAAAGTGTCACGACAGTGCGAACATTGACAGTTGTGGGTATACGCTTCTGGCCTACCTTATATTGCAACGCGATGATACCACACCACCGATTAATGTTAATAAAGTAATTAGTACGTCATCGCCACCGTGCAACCAGTCTTCTAATTTATAGTACTTATAATATATATATATATAAATATATTATCATACATCTATGCTCTGGCCACACCATGTTCTGACGATAGCGAGTGAGTTGACATTCCATCGCTGGCAACACTAGCTGTTCCCATAAATCTTTACTGCCATCTCATTCACTGGCATTTTATGGTTAAGGAATGAAGCTTTGACGATGAGTTTTTTTGTTTTAGTGGATGCATAGCAGGCCCGTAGCCAGGGGGGGTTCGGGGGGCTAATCAATATAATAATAAATGTAGTACGCACTACGCAGTATGCACAGTATGCAGTATAACAACTGCCTTCTTCTTGCTTCTAATCAATATAATAATAAATGTAGTACGCACTACGCAGTATTGCACAGTATGCAGTAATAACAATGCCTTCTTCTTGCTTCTAATCAATATAATAACTAGAACGGGCAGTTGTTCGCGCCTACAGTAATCCCCCGTGATCTAGTAATTGAATGGGGGGAATATCTCTGTAAGGACTTAGAAGGCAGGTAAAGTTAGAATAAGTCACCCAAAGACAAAGGTTTGTTAGAGCAACTGCGTCTCCTCAGATGTGCAAGTATATGAATCTAGTTACGCCTTAGCGGAGGAATATTTTCACTGTGAACAGTACCGCCCCCCCTACCCCCTCTTCGTTACCGCATGAGTTTTTGTCGTTTATAATTGTCGCGTAACTGGACCTAGAGAATGGCAGCAGGTACCGATCGAAATTCCGCAATGGCGACCTGGCGAGAGCAAGCGTGAAATTTTGTGTGTTGTTGAAATGTTGTTTCATTAACGTTGCTGACGGTAATATAGTTGCTACGTGACATAGGCTTAATCGTCTTCGCTCAACGTTCGAACCCTCCCGCGTAAGACGTCAATGGTAAATTCCGTTATGGGTCGTTTTCGAGGCGAAGATCACGTGAATTTACCGCGCGCCGTTAACAGTAATGGCCTAATCATTTCTGGGGTTGCTGTACATCACCATTTCTCAATAACACATCACACAGTTCATGTCTTTTTCTCATAAAATACTACTAATACTGTAGACTACTACGAGGGATACAAATAAGAGTACGCAGCAAAATGAGGGAGTGCGTTGTAACTATCGTGATTTGAACAATCTGCGTTGATAAGGATTAGGGTTCATAATGACAGCCTTTTAATCGTAAAGACAAGCTTAATACATTTAAGTATATGAATAATTCAATGATATAATGAATAATTACACAACTTGCTAGTACACGTCATGGATCATGCGTACCATGACCAACTCCCTTTCCGTCTGCGGTTTACAGTGTTCTGCGCACGGCGCGGCCAGGGGTGAAACCCATCTGGCCGATGTAAATATGGTATATATATATATATACAAAATATATGCCCCATACACCCATTGACAGTCAGCGCCTATGTTCTGTCGCCATTAGTTACGCATCTCCGCAAAGCCGGAGTCGGCGAGTAAACTACCGAATTATGTTTATATCTCGATGCGTTATCTGCCTTGCATACGCAGGTCGCTTCTGGGATTTGGCAATGAAGTGCGTTATGCTTAAAGCAAAGACGCATAATTGTTTTTGGTGTGCGGAGGAGTCATTGTTTGCCATGGTAAACAATCGTTTTTGTTGGAAATATTGCTAGAATCCTACAGGTATACTTGTGCTGTTTTTACCTGATTTTCATCGAATTTGGCAGCACAGGCCGATATAACATGTCTATATATATATATATATATGTATTATATATATATATATTTGATGACACATCATAATTTATATATATAATTTAAATACAAATTTTTAATAGCAAAATATTTTGGTTTTTTATATTTTTTATGCAATATTTTTTTCCGCTTTTCTTTTTTTAGAATTTTAAATTTAATTTTAATAACCAACATTAATTTCATGACAATCGGTAAAAAGTGCAGAAGTTACAGGTTCTAGAATATTTCGACAAAAAATGTTGTTACCATGGCAAACGATGACTCCGCGCACACCAAAAACGATAGGTGTCTTCGCTTTACGATAACGCATCTTCATTCAAATAAAATTGAAGATGATCCGAGAAGAACTGCAGCCGGCTAGAGCGCTCACAAGGAAATCTCTGCGGCGGCGGCGGCGCGGCGGAGGCGCGCAGGCCGCGGCGCGCGGCGGCGGCGCGCGACGATGCCAAATCCATAGTATCCCACGAACTTCGTTCGGGGGATACAATAAATGCAGTACGCACTACGCAGTATATTAAGGCAATATATGCCACTATATTAGCCTATTCCTTCTCCTTGCTTCTAATGCAGAATGCAGTATATTAAGCAATATGCACTATATTAGCCTGTTCCTTCTCCTTCGCTTCTAATGCAGAATGCAGTATATTAAGGCAATATGACACTAATTAGCCTGTTCCTTCTCCTTGCCTCGATCTAATGCAGAATGCATTATATTAAGGCAATATGCACTATATTACTGTTCCTTCTCCTTGCTTCTAATGCAGAATGCAGTAGATTAAGGCAATATGCACCATATTAGCCTGTTCTTCTTCTTGCTTCTAATGCAGTATGCAGTATATTAAGGCAGTATGCACTATATTACCTGTTCCGTCTTGTTGCTTCTAATGCAGTAGCACTAATTAACTTCTTCTTCTCTTGCTCTAACGCAGTTATATAGTATATGAATTTAACTTTTTTACTGCTGCACCAAACACTGCCACATGTAAAACGACTCAGCGGCAATCAAGAAACACTAGTGACGGTGACGCAGCTTACACCTGAACATCGAAACCGAAGCGGAAACGGAAACCTGCAGCATTTCTGGCGTAACGTACTGACCAGTCTATTCAGTCAGTTAGTCAGTAGTTGGTTAGTTTAGTAAGTTAGTCAGTTAGTTTAGTCAGTTAGTCAGGCTATTTAGTCTGTTCAGGATATGCGTTGATTTCCTTTGCACGCTACAATGTTATTAGCACGCTATCGCAGAATGCGCCGGGAGCCATCCCAGGCACTTGGGACAGAGTCAGTAAAAACTGAAAATAATATGAACGCACATTCACAAATAGGCCCTGCTACCATACCTCTCAATTACAGTTCCACTGTTGTGTCACTGTATATCACGCTTCCGCACTCGCCGCTGCGAGTGTGCTGTGTCGCCATGATAATAATATATAAAGTTATTTAGTTTTTATGAAGGAAAGTTGATATACAGTGACACAACAGTGGAACTGTAATTGAGAGGTAGGGCCTACGGTCGTATTTCTATTTGTGAATGTGCGTTCATATTATTTTCAGTTTTACTGACTCTGTCGCAAGTGCTGTGATCCCAACAGCATTGCGCGCTACGACAACAACAGGCATTTCGAAGCGTTCGTACTTCACTTGCTTTAAATAGTAGCTTTTAGCGTTTTTTTTTCAATGTGCCATATGCACCATCCCCCCCCCCCTACTGGTGATCACCTAAACAGTGTGGCCAATGTTGGCATCCTAAACGGGCAATAAACGGCGGAATACATAGCAGACCGCCAGACAGAGTTGTTCTTGTAGTAGTATAGATGTATCACTCTTGCGCCGCTTCTCTCTCTCTCTCTCTCTCTCTCTCTCTCTCTCTCTCCTCATCTCTCTCTTCTCTCTCTCTCTCTCTCTCTCTCTCTCCTCTCTCTCTCTTCTCTTTCTCTCTCCTCTCTCTCTCTCTCTCTCTCTCTCTCTTCTCTCTCTTCTGTCTCTCTCTCTCTCTCTCTCTCTCCTCTCTATCTCCCTCTTCTCTCTCTCTCTGCTCTCTCTCTCTCTCTCATCTGTCTCTCTCTCTCTCCTCTCTAGTGCTCTCTCTCTTTCTCTCTCTCTCTCTCTCTCGCTCTCTCCATCCTCTCTCAGGCTGTCTTTCCCTCTCTCGTTCCCCGTCTTTTTTCTCTCATGTGCGCGCACTCTCTCCCTCTATCTGATTGCTATCGGCGACCTTCCATTCTACCGTTCCATCCCAACATACAGTTCAAATATTGAATGCCAATATCCCACGCACAGTCCGCATGT